ATACCGCTATCAAATTTAACCCCGCAGACCTTCTGAACACCAGAAAAGCAGCAGAAAACTTTGTGGGTTTTAAGACAAGCTATCGAAAGTAGCACCGGTAAAAAAAGGTTCCATAGAAGTAGCTTGTTCCATAAAACTCAACTTGCTAACGCCCCTTTCAGACAGATGGGCACCAAGTACGTCCTAACCTGTATTGAGAGCTTTGACATTTTTTTATAAATTATGCCTCAGTGCATCCTGGTTTGCAAAACACTACAGCAATGAATGCTGGCCAAAGGAACAACATGCTGCAGCCCTTCCCATGTGCACTGCGCAGGCACTAGGCAATAGAAAAAAGGCAATTTAATGACAATCAGCCCAGAATTACCCTTTGTAACCCCCGTTATTCTCTGAAGGCAGACAGCTGCTTTATCCGAGCGGCACAAAATGAGGCTTCGACCCTCTGTTGTTAATTCCAACATTCTTTTCTCCGTAAGTCCATGGTTAAGTGTTCTCTTTACAGCACATTTCTATAGGGACCAACGCTAAATTGATACTCAATATATTTCCCCTTCCACCTGCCTTACTTCAGACTTGGAAACTCAAAATGTTATTTAAACAACGTTCCAAAAACTGAGCCTCGAGCTGTAGTAAGATGGTATGGGACTACTTCACCACTCTAACTTCCCCAGCTCTTGAAACGATGCAAAACCAAATAAATGCAGTATTTATAGATGAAGGCAAAATTCTTCATGGCTCACTAATGACTACTTGAAAAGCTAATATATAAAGGGCCAGGAGGAAATGAATTCCCAGTACCTTACAGAAGTATCAGACTCCTCCTTTCAGGCAAGTATTTCATTTCTTCAGCAGCTTTTTGACTGTTTATGGTGCCTCGGTTACGTTAACAGCGCTTTGCCCCAAGTGCAGCAGCCTTCCTACAGAATGACAACCGAGATGGGCTCTGCGTGCGGGTGAAGCACTCTGTTCCCAGAAGGAGACGGGAGCACATTTTTATAATAGCTAATATGGCAATGAATCATCCTCCTGAGATAAAGATTAGAAACATTAAGAGGGGACTATAGTAGGTTGAAATAAAAAACAAAATTTAAAAAGGGACTCAGCTGGTTCAAGTTTTACATATGCAAATAAACAGTAAGAGAGGGGAAACACAGAGTGAGACGTGAAGTAATGAGCAGAAAGATCAGGTGTATCTATCTTCCTGGAGGCTGGAAGAAGGAAGATATTAAACTGTGCTTTCTGGTAAATTGCCACTGCCAGTTATTGACAAAGTTGTCAATTATACAGGATTATTTAGACTGATGATACCTGAGGAAATGGGGATTTAGCAACACTTGGGACTAAAAGGAGAGATAGGAACATGCTGCAGATGATAAATGGAGTGGATTGAAAGTAAAAGAGCAAAGAGGCCACCTTCAGAGGGTATAATTAAATATCCTTAATTAGCATATTAGAGTACTGCAATGAAACCACATACCTACTTTCAAAGTTGGATTTTAGAAAATAAATGTAACCGAGTGGATGAAAGACCAAGAATGTTCTATGCCGTAAGACTGCTTGGCATAGAATTTATTCAGTTAACTTCTATTTTGCTAATGTTTAAATAACTTAATCATACAAAAAAATGCACTGACTCCCCAGGTCTGTAAGCAGTAAGATATTAAATCACCAATAGACAGATTTTACTGAAATTGGTCAGACAATGCATTAGGAAAAGAGGACGGTGCTTGAGTCAAGAGTAGGATTTCAAGTAGTTGAGTAATCGTGTAGCTTAATGCACACAGATAAAGCAGTGTGGTGGTTTAACCTCAGCTGGCAACTGAGCACCACCCAGCTGCTCGTTCACTGCCCCCCCCGGTGGGATGGGGGAGAGAATTGGAAGAGTGAAAGTGAGAAAACTCGTGGGTTGAGATAAAGACAGTTTAATAATTGAAATAATAATAACAATAAAAGAATATGCAAAGCAAGTGATGCACGATGCAATTGCTCACCCCCCGCCGGCCGATGCCCAGCCAGTCCCCGAGCAGCGGGCCCCCCCGGCCAGCTTCCCCCAGTTTCTGTACTGAGCACGACGTCCCGTGGTGTGGAATGTCCCTCTGGCCAGTTGGGGTCAGCTGTCCTGGCCGTGCCCCCTCCCCGGCTCTTGTTGCCCCCCCACCTGCTCAGTCGGCAGGGGCTTGGGAAGCTGAAAGTCCGTGACTAGTGTAAGCACTGCTCAGCAACAACTGAAACATCGGTGTGTTATCAACGTTGTTCTCCTCCTAAATCCAAAGCACAGCACTGTACCAGCTACTGGGAAGGAAATTAACTCTATCCCAGCTGAAACCAGAACAAGCAAGGACCAACAATTAAGAGGGTAGCAACTGGCACCACAATGTTTTTAAACTGGTCTAGGAGTAAGAGTTAAGCTTTATTTTGAGACAGGAGACGTGAAAAGTGTTTTGAAATTCTTGGAAGAAACCTCCCACAATACCGCAAAGCTCTGTTCTACTAAAAACACACTCTGCTGAAGAGTTAGGGATATTTTCTACCACAATTTTCTCAATAGAACAAAAGATATTTCGCGGTGTTCATGAAGAGATAGCTGACAGGTTAGGATTTCAATACAAGATTTGAAACTGCCAGGCCTAAATCACAGTTTTGGGGTTGACTTGTTTGGTCACGCAAGCTGCTTAACTCTTCTGTACCTCACTTCTGATATACAACGGACCGGCAATTCCTGCCTCCCAGGCATTTCACCAGGATACATGTATCCACAACCAAGATATGATGGATATAATTGGAAGACTGCATGAAAAACATTGATATCAGAGGCTCTCAGATATTAGATACGGCAACACCCCAGTGTTATTTATACTACCCTTCTAAAATAATTTTGGTTACTCATATTAAATAAATTCTCTGTTCCCAGCACAGAAAGGCTTTGTTTGCCACACTGCTAGCGAGTCCACTGTTGCAGTCTTAAGTGAGACAGGGCACTGCTACCAGGAGAACTTAATTTCCATCCCTCTGCTTTGATTGCTACTGTGCCTTCCATCTGCTACGGCTTTTTTACGCAATCACTGAGGCCTCAACTAAGTGATGCCTTGAGCAACAGAAGCTAGGGCTTCAATACGTGCCACCAATAATATTTCTGCTTCCTAAGAAGCAATGCTAAAACCCAGCCAGCTGCAACAAGTTTTGAAAAAATACTGTATGATGACTGAACTGGACAGATTAAAGTGAGTCTTAAATGCCATATTACAATCCAGACGAAAGAAAAAGTACTTGGCTTGGCCAAGCGCAAAATTAGTATTATATAAACGGCTCCCCCCTCCCCACGCACACCCTTGTAAACGCAATAGAAAACAGAAATGCAATAGGGAGGAGGGCACGGTGGTTGTCTCCCCAAGGACTAATAAACTTCCCAGCTGAACAGTACGTGTCTCCTGATTGACAAGTGATGAATATGACAATATGCCTGGCTCTCTTTACAGAAAGATGACAGCATAATACACTGAAGGCACCCTATTTGTCTTCCAGTTACTGTCACCGATTAGGAAGAAAAGATGCAGAATGCCAGCTGAAGGTGTTCAGGAGAGGTGAAACCTCCGAAGCAGAAGTTAGCAAAGACACCAGGCAGACCGTGTTTGACAAGAGAGAGAGGGAACTGAAAGACTAAACTGGCTATTGTTGTAGGTAATCATCATTGAAGACCAACGTACTTCAGAGGCTGTATCTGCCTACCCAGCTCCTCCCTCGATCTGGGTCTGAAGTCACGGGAAAGTGCAATACATTATTTCAATACAGTACATAATACATATCATGTAACACAGGGCATTAGCTCCCAAAGAAATCTTTATAATGGCTGTTGCGGCACCCAACTCAGAATATAACTTATAAATGCAGGGTTCCTCAGTCTTTGGGTTGCTGTTTTCTACCGACAATAAAAAGTAGTTTAGGAAGAAGAAGAAAAACCCCAACCATGAACACTTTGATTTTGGCTTGCTTTGCCTTCATTTTTCTGCAAGACACGGTACCCCTCTGCTGGGCAAGAACAGACGAAACAGCAAGGAGCCGCGAACCAACACTGACAGAACAGTCAAACAAAACTGGTCTATCCAGACCGAAAAGGATAAGGAAGGAAAGGCAACTGAGGCAACGCATGGCTGAACAAAAGCCTTAGAAAATAAGGAGCCCTGACGCAAACCATTAAGCAAACAGCATTCATAATTTAGACTTAGTTCTCCAAACACCCTCCAAACAAGAAAGTAACATTTTTCATAACATCTGTGAAAATGAGTCACCGTGAAGGAGCTGTCGTCTTGACGAGCACCAGTTCTCTAGCACTAAGAACAATGGTTGCAATATTTAGGATTACAGGAAGCAGGAAGAATTTTCTAAAGCAAAAGATTTTTGACCATGAACAGCTGAATTATGAAGTCTGCACTGCACGAAGCTGGTAAAGAAATTTAGCTGTAACTTTTGCACTCATGACATTGTTTTCCAGGAGAAGGTACGACAAACCTTAAACAAACCTTCACAACAGTTTTTCTTTTTCACTTTAGGCATTACATTTTTATATATATACACACACACATATTTAAATGACAACCATAGTCAAGATAGGACAATTTCAGACATCAGCAGGTGTCCTGGTTTCAGGACATGACAGCAGGGATGCAGATGAAAAAGCAAACTCCTACCAGAGGCATGTACAATATCACACGCATTTTTGTGAAATATTAGTTAAATCTTACTCTGACCTCTGGAGCATGATAAAGAGAGAAGTTAAGCCTTCTTCTCATTAGCCCTGAGACTGGAATATAGTTGCCCATTTTGTTTCAGACTTCTTGTTCTGTTCCACATATGACTCTGCTCGGTTCTCTATGGGTTGGAATACTACTCATTTTTAAACCAAAGAAAGATTGCAAAAAAGTTCTGTTTAAAAATAACATTCTAATAAGTGACTGCTAGGAAACAATCTTTTTTGATTAAAAATATAAACACAAAACAAAGTTTGATAATAGTTTTTTCCCCGTTTATTAAAAACAGTCATTACACTTGACATACATTCGGCAAAGATACATGATCGTATCTCTACTTTTCAGGAAACGAATTACAGACCATTACGATGTGACACCGCACATGCCATCACTGGGTTCTGGATCTGTTTTTCATACTGCAAACTTCTGGTTTTGTTTCAGTTATTCAGGTGATTCTGCTTTTCGCTTGCCTGTGTGATCAACAACAGTACATTGGCTTCAAATACGTTCATTTTAGACGTACATATGTGCTCATAGCGTAAAACTGCACCCAGTACCTGCCGCGAGATACTGAAGAGAACATTCTTCTAGGGTCTTCTAAAGAAGACTAGATCATCATCAAAAGATGATCCAGACTCATCCTTTGGTACCACTTTTCTTTTCGCATGGAAGCCTGTCACCCCAAGCCTTTCGCTTCGGTAACCAAAGTTTGTTTCACTAAGAAACAAGTTTTCTAAACCATTTGTTTAAGGACCAGGAAAGAGGACAAATCTTACCAACAGGAAACTCTCCAGAGGGGAAAAAGGTCTGTAGTGACAGAAGCAGATACGGAGTCTCAGTAAAGACAAGTTTTTCTAACCAAACCTACACAAAAACTTCAACGATACAGCAGCTGAATTAACGAAGGGGGGCGGGGGAAGAG